GGAGCTGAGGCCCAGGGAGGCTGGGCATCTTCCCCGCGGCTTGTTAGTGGCCGGAACAGAGCTTGGAGTGAGGTTCAGGAGCCCCTACCTACTCGTTCCCTCTTCACTGGACCGGCTGCTCCGGAGGAGGCTGCCCACCTGTCTCCTCAGCCTGTAACCCTGGCTTCCTTCTGCCCCTCCCCCTGCCCCCCTCTGCAGCCTATCATCTTCGTTTCGGACAGAGCAAACAGCAACAAGGAACTGAGTGTGGACCAGGAAGCAGAGGAGGGCAAAGACAAAACAGGCCCCGATAAGCCTGAGAAATCCCCACAGGTTCTGAGCATGCGGCATGAATGGGGTGGCCAGCACACACTGGGGTCTTCTATGCTTTTGGGGTGCTCAAGTTGGAGGGGACCAAGGGTGGGGTGTCTCTTTAACATCTGGCAGTTGGATTTATCTCACTGACCTTTTTCTCTCACCAAGTTCTTCTAAAATTTGGGGTGCTGTCTTGGGGGTTGGCAGCCACATCCAGGCAGTCCCAGGCCTGGGAAGGACAGGCTGGGCTCCCTGCTGGGGCCTGTCCAGCAGGACGATGAGGGAAGCGGGGCAGCAGAGCCTGAGACAGAACAGCTCCTTGTTTCCTGGTGTCCTCGGGCTCGTAACCAAGGGGTTCAGTAGCAGGAAAGGGGCTGACATGAGAGATATCGAGTCCTCCAGAGCCAAGGGGAGGGCTAGCCTGGAGTGGGGAGAGGTGTCATCTAGTGGTTAGTGGAGGTGGGGCTAAGGGACAAAGGCCCATAGACCAATCCAGGGCCACCTCCACTGGGGGGGAGGGGGGGGCAAGCAACGGAGTGGGGCAGGGGCCCTCGGAGGGCTGGGCCTTGATGACAGAGGCAGCTGGGAGACGTCAGAATGGTCTGGCCCCCTTTGTCCTGCTGGGACTCGATTGGTTGGGATGGTCAGGCTCACAACAGTGGAGAGGCTCTAGCTGGTGGGGATGGGGAAAGGGACCACAGGGGCTGTCTGCAAGTCTGCACGGCTGAGTTTCCTGTCTGGATGTCTGGGCCGGGGAGGTATGGAGTGAGGGTCGCTGGCGCCTAGGTGACTCTTATGCCTGCTCACGAGGTTTGACCAGGAAGGCGCATTGCCCTGTACGCAGCTCCTGCTGCCCCTTGGGGCCGTTGTAGGCACTCTGACTCCTTCAGGCCATGAGACTTTCCTCAGGGTCTGTCCATCCCCCACCCATGAGCCAGCTTTCCCTTGTGCTTCCGCAGCCACGGCCTGGCAACACTGACCAGGAAACTGAAGAGCAGCAGCACTTCCAGAACATTTTCAAGCAAATAGCGGGTGATGTGAGTACCTCCAACTCCAACTTCCACAGACACTCCTCACACAACCAGTTACTTCATCATCATTCAGTAGAGGTCATTTGGGTGGAAACAGGGGATATGTGTGGGTAGCACAGACATCCCCAAGTCAAGTCCTTGAGTTTTGGACAAACACACCCATGGGGTGGCTCTGAGGCCTTTGGCTGAGCTGCCCACTGCAGTCCTGACAGCCCGGGTGCAATGTCCGCCTTCCACAGAAAAGCCCCGCTTCCCAATGGCAATAGCACTGACAGGGACCGTACAGACAGGGGCAGCCGGAGCTCATTTTGCAAAGCCTCTGTCCAGCAGCTCTGTTCTCTTGAACGTGACTCCCCTCCCTTCCTGCCCAGGACATGGAGATCTGTGCAGACGAGCTCAAGAATATCCTGAACTCAGTTGTGAACAAGCGTGAGTGGCTCAAGCTGTCTGTGCGGGATGGTGGGCAGGTGTGTGTGTGTGATCTGAGAGTAGTTCCTCTTCTCCACACCTCCCAGATAAGGACCTGAAGACACAAGGGTTCACGCTGGAGTCCTGCCGTAGCATGATTGCTCTCATGGATGTATCCTTCCTGCCACCCTTCCCAACCCTCAGGGGGCCAGGGCAACAATGAGGGGTGCCCAGTCAGGCAGAGGGGCCCAAAATCGCACCCAAGGAAAAGGCTTAGGGAGGTCCTGAGTCAGAACCTCCAGCTGCTGGTTTAAAAGGGGCTATTGGAGGAGGTACACGTTGGGAAGACCATTGGTTGTGACCAGCCCCTGGGCCCTGCTCTTACCTCAGGCGGGGATTCTGGCTGGGCCCTGGCCAAGGAGGCAGGTTCCCTGGGTCATAGACACTACCTTTGATTGGGGAGGTTTGGAGGGGAGGGTTAAGTACCAGGACAGGGCATTAATACAGGACAGTGGCTAGCATATCCTGGGCAGAGCCTTCCTATGGGGCTACCTTCCCTGCAGAGCCTTCTAGAAACCCCCTCCCAATCCCAGAGGATTTTGCTATGTGTACCCTGTAGCCCTGACCTTCCTCCAGACAGATGGCTCTGGGAGGCTGAACTTGCAAGAGTTCCATCACCTCTGGAAGAAGATCAAAGCCTGGCAGGTGAGGAGAGAGAAACAAGTGTGGGAGAGAAGGAGGAAATTGAGTCTGGGGTTTAGTGTGAAACCACTGACCTCAAATTTCCTATTGCCAGAAAATTTTCAAGCGCTACGACACAGACCAGTCCGGCACCATCAACAGCTACGAGATGCGAAATGCAGTCAACGATGCAGGTGCTGGGAAAGGGGGCGGCGGTGGCTGGGGGTGTGGACTGCAGCTGGTGGAAGCCAGAATGGGAGGCGGGAACTAGGCCACTGGGCGCTACTGGAGAAAGGGAGGAGAAAGGGCTTCTCATGGTCCTTCCCCAAGAGGCAGGGACGATAGAATGCAGGCCTAAGGACTGCAGCTCTACTGCCTCCTCTCAAGTGCTCCCTCCACAGGATTCCACCTCAACAGCCAGCTCTACGACATCATCACCATGAGGTACGCAGACAAATACATGAACATCGACTTCGACAGCTTCATCTGCTGCTTCGTCAGGCTGGAGGGCATGTTCAGTAAGTGGGGGCCACCACCCCGCTCTCCTGTGCCCTTCCCGCCCCCTCCCGCAGTGAGAGCTGTGGCTGATCATCCCGTCTGCTCCGTCTGGAATGAACAAAGGCGAAGGCCCTCTTTAGGCTCAGAATGGGTTGGCAAAGGGAGGGCTATAGGTGACACTCTGCCTGGCAGAACATGGCCCTCTGAAGAAGTTACAGTAGTAGAGGGAGAGCGAGCCTGTGGCCTCTGGCCTGTGTTCCTTCTTCCACAGGAGCTTTTAATGCATTTGACAAGGACGGAGACGGCATCATCAAACTCAGCGTTCTAGAGGTAAAGCCTGCAAGAAGCAGTACACTCCCCTTGTACCTTAAAATTCAAGGTGGAGTCCCCGAGGCAGACTGGGCCGGGGGCTCCTCACTTCCCAGTGGTGTGGCAGGACGGCGCAGGAGAGGAACAGGACGGGAAGCACAGTGGGGAATGTGGCTCATGGGGAATGTACACACCAAAGGGTCCTCATTCCTAAACTGACTTTACGCTGGGAAACACGTACCTTCCCAGGAGAGATCTGGGGGAGGATGCTGCTGCTTCCTGTAAAACCTTCCCAGGCTGAGCCTTTCCCCCACCCTGTGAGAGCCCGAGGGCTGGACTCTGTTCTTGTTTGCATTCTGATCTTGGGACTTCCTTTCAGTGGCTGCAGCTCACCATGTATTCCTGAACCAAGACGGCCTCAGCCAAGGCCGTGTGGGATCACTCGGGATGTTTCACCCAATACTAGAACCACTTACCTCAGAGGCTGCGGTACTGCCTCCAGGCGCCCCAGCAGGCCTCCAGGCGCCTCATCGGTCTTGTTCCTCCTCTACTTCACTACGACTCAGCCTCAAGGCATCTGTCCATCTGTCATGCCCAAACTAACCCTTTAGTTAAGGAACTTTGTCCTTTAGCTGGTGGCAAGTGTCTGTCTGCCTCAGCTAGTTGTGGCTCCGTGGAGATTTGCTTGGAACCTGAGCAGCCTCAGCTCTGAAGCACATGGTCTACTTAGCGGCAGTGCCCCGGGCTGTTCACAGAAGCCTTAGCCAATGGCAATCAGTACCTCCTGTGCTGGATCCCTCTACCACCCACTGGACAATCACCAAACAAGCCCTGGTTCTGTCTGATTATTTCGGGATGGGCCTGCTCTGGAGGAAACTAGCTCAGTGACAGAGAGCTGGATACTGTGGGTTGTGACTCATAAGCCTGGCTGCATTCTGAAAAAAAGTAGATCTAAATAAAGGCAGGTTCTATTGTGTTTTGTTTTCTCACATTTAGGTATCAGCCGTGGGCTGAATAGCTTCCAATCCTACATTCACGTATAGAGAGCTCAAGTTTCATTACACAATGAAAAACACACACATACACAAATAAACCCCGAATCCCACTTTAATCATATCTATTTGTGTTTCCTGGGCATAGAAATCACTCAGATATATGAGGAAATGGAGGGGAATGGCTCTTGGTACACAGAACAAGAATAAATGGGTCACCCCATAACAGGAGGGTCACTTATCCTATATAATAAAAGCCTATATGCTAATTGTCCATCCAACCATTTAACCAGTTGCTATGGTGCACACTGACCACCAGGGGGGAGATGCTCCAACTGTAGGTTAGCTTGTTGCTGGGGTCCAGCTGATCCGGACTGGGTGAGATGGGCTGGACATGCCCTGGAGCCCTCCAGCAGTCCTTCCTGGCCCCGATCGTGCACCAGTGGGGTCCCTCGACCTGGCCTGTGGGGATTGGGCGGAAACCAACTCTCCAATATCCCCCAAGGGGTCCCGGATTGCAAGAGGGTGCAGGCCAGGTCAAGGGACCCCACCGGTGCACAAATCCATGCACCAGACCTCTAAGTATAATGGAGCAGAAATGTAGTTTTTAATCTTAGCTCCTCCAATAATTAATTGACTCTGTGTATGACCTTGACAAACTTATCTGGCCCATGGTCTGTGGCTTATCTATACCATCTTGTGTTTTCCACCCAATTTTCTTCTTAGTCTCTGTACCAACATGGAAAAGAAGGGGTTGGCTAGGAATGTGCAGATAAGGTAACAAAAGTAAACAATTTGTAAAAGTACTTTATTTTCCTCTTGTATTTGCTTTGTAACTTGCTTTTACAAAGTTATGAAGTTCACAGGTTTATACCAAAATGTAAGAAGGCTAAGCTATTTGCTTAATAACATTTTTGCAGTCAAATGTCATCTGATTTCAGTTTTCTAATCCATATTCAATATAAAAAATTCGCATGCTAGAGCAGCTCTAGGGCACGTGTTTCTCTTAGGCAGGAAGAAGATCTTCAATAGCCTTTCCTCTTTGACTCCCCTCGTTCCCAATCCCATTGGGCTACTACCTTGAATTTAGAGCAAACATGGGAAATTTTAGTGCATGTGGCCCAGCAGGGCCCCATACCTGGGAGTTGGAGGTGAGGTTAGGGATTACTGTCTGATAAGCAGTAGGTGTGGTTTACATCATCATTTCACATCCACTGGCATATGGGACTCAGTATAACCAAATCGTCACCACAGCTCCTATTCCTAGTCCTTAGACAGCTCCTTTGCCATCCTGAGGGTCCTGATGATGTGGGGCAGGGACGAGATCACTATCATCAATGTGGCAGGCCTGGCCTTCACAGCAATTCTGAAAGCTCTCCTTGAGGCAACAAGAACAAAATCTGTCCGTCAGTGTATATTAATGGCAGTTATTTGAGCAAACCAGGGGGAACATGCTGTTCAAATATCACATCGCAATATACTTTGATCTCCCCTCCAATGAATTCTCTTCCATAAAACATACCATACCATTCCACTAAATGTTGTACACCTACTCCCACCAAACCATCCACATACCTAGTCACTAAAGTTGCCCACTGTATAATCTACCCAAGACCCCCAAAAAACAAAAACAAAGAAACCTTTGTTCAGGAAATAATCACTCAAACAGCAATGATTTTGCCTATAACTTATAAGTAGGTCAGGAGCTAAACACTCAATTGCTAAGGAGACAGAAAAAACTTCTCCCCACAAAAGCAGGAGTGTGGTAGCAATAATGTTCTCTTCAAGTAGCATCAGATCAAAATTAATTCTTTGCTCTTAAGAGTTTTGTTCGCATTGTGTTTAACCGGGTAGAAACATATGCCAAAATACATTTTGAACCTGATTCAAACTTTAGGATAAAACTTGAAGTGACTGATATTATATCAGAACAAACTGCCATTAAAACACTAGCACATGCACACAAAAGGATTCATACCAGGGTTTCCTCGGCTTCTAGCCTTTAGAAGTAGGCACACATAATTAAAAAACAACGTTCTAAAAAATGGCCTCCGACTCCTGATAAGAAATGTCAGGTTCTGTCAGGTCATGGAACGGTTTCCTTTCTTCATAAAGTACTAAATACCAGAGTTTATGCAAACCCGACAGCTCTTCTCTGAGGGCGACAGAGGGCTAGAATCAGTCAGGACATCAAAGAAGACTTAAAAATGGCCAAAATTCTGCATAACTTTCAAGACACTTTAAAGCAATAAGCATACATAAGCAGCCAAAATGTTTATGGTGCATTTATTTCTAAACAGAACTAGAACAGTGTGTTTAGGATAGCACACTCACCTGATGTTAAATTTTACACATCCTTAAAACAAAAACATTATTGCTACTGCTTCAAAGGACATTTCTACGAAATGAGGAAAAGTATTCCAAGTACAGGTGCCCATCTGTATACACATGTACAAGGATCATTCATATACGCCATGGCAGGCAGACTGTGCACAATTCCACCAAAGGGAAACCCAAACTGGTTCTCACTGACTCTACCTGCAAAGGTTCCCCTCACTTGCCCAGCACCTGCCCTACAAAGCTCACCACTCTCGTCTTTGCAGACACGTCCGTCCTCAGGCAGGACAGAAGGACACCTGTGCACCAGTGCATGCAAGACTTTCTTCCCACACTCCCCAGCCGTCTGAGAAATGCTGCTTCACTACCCAGAGAAAAATGCCAGGTTTGGCAATAAGTCCAAATTCACTCTCCTGGGAATTTACCATTCCCAAACCCACAGGACAGCCTGGCTTCTCTGGTCACCTGTACCGGAAATGGGGGTGAGAGGTGGGAAAAGCTTCATAATCTCATAGAGAAACAGCACAAATAGTCTTGATACAATAAGATTAACTCGGGTCTCTCTCAAGTGTCATGTAAACCTCAATAGTGTGGTTAACAAAAAAGTTTTCCCATTCACAAACACAGAAGTAAATAGCTTGTGGGCCATTCATTATCTAGTAGTAGCTCCTTTAGTAGGTCTTAATCTTTTGGATCCAGTAAAAATCATTAGAGCCTTCCCTGGGAAAAAAGGACACATACTTCATCTTGCATACAAGTCCAGGGGGTTCGCACACCCTCCTGAAACCTGTCCATGAATCCCCAGTGAAGTCCTCCTGCCCTAGAGCCAGAGTGGAGGGGGCAGGCGAGCAGATGTGTGCGCACCGACAGGAGAGGGGAGAAGCCTGGGTGCTCTGCAATCCTAGAACAGAGTAGGGGCCGCATCCCGAAGCGTGGCTGTGCGCACCGTGCTGCTCTCCCTTCCTCTACCTCCCTGAAGAACCTTTCAAAGTGAACCCAGAAACAAAAGAATGGAAAGCAACACGTCTACAGCTTCTCTTCGGAGTGCGGAGAAAAGCCCAAACCACGCAGTCTCACTAAGGCTTTGTTACTGTGGCTGCTCTCCACGGACAGGTGGTCTTTAACGTCACCAGACTCCACTCTTTCTTCCCAACTAGTGGAGAGGTGAGGGCAAGACAGCGGTTTTAGAAACCAGTTTCTAAGAAGCCTGCTGAGGCCCTAAAAACCGGATTCAGATGCTTTATCCTAACTCCCCTATCTTGGGGGCTGCAGGTGAGTGCAACGCATTCTGTAGGTTTCAATCCCACAGCAGCCTGGAGTCAGAAACTGCAAAGGGAGGTCAAGGCTGCACCTCCAGGTCAAACAGCCCGGCCACCCCTGCAGCAGTGATGCCCCGGTCTCACAGCACCACTGCACGTGGACAGTAGGTCGGTGTGCTGCCCTGACCAAACACTCCAGCGAACCTTGCAGAGAGGGTCGCCGGGGAGCACTGTCCGTAAGGACTTGCCATTGTGTGATGTGCTGTCTCAACTCCTAAAATAGTCAGCTGAGCAGTCACTCTACCTGCTAAAAATCTACTGTCTTCCTTTACATTTAAAGCCAGCTCTGTCATCTACAAAGCAAAAGAATACTGACACACACTAAACATAATTGTTAAGAAGAAAACTATTTGCTTCCAATTTAAATACCCAGTTATTACAAGCAGAAAAATTAAAACTGATCCTAAAAATCTAGCATTTGAACAAACTGGTACTTAAAGCTTGACTACAAGTTTAAACCATCATAAGAACATAAAGTAAAAATCACAAACTGAAATCAGTAAAACAACATGATTAGGGTCAAATCAGGTAGCCAATTCAGACCTGCATCTTTAATAAACATCTGGAGAACACCAGTAGCATAAATTACCATATGCCACGCTGTCCCAGGAGTATGATTCCTGAAAATCTGACAAACCTCCAGCAAGATCTTAAAGTGTAACCTATCATCCCACAGAGCTGCTCAGACTCACCCTAGTGGTAAGTCTGATTGGTAATCACTTTCTCCTTCCCCGCTTCACAGGGGAAGGGAGGAGAGTGGCCCGTGTGAGGGGCCAATGTGACATTCGTTCAGCTAATGACTTCCCAACATGGGAGGCGAAAACTTCATGAATCAACTTTACTTTCATCCTCAGCATGTCGTTCGATGTGTCCTGTAGCGTCCTAGGAATAAAGGGAAAAGAGCCCATGAGAGAAGTTGGCAGGAAAGACAAACTCCCACGCAAGGAGAGCTTCCTGGGTACGTTCTATGATCTACACATGAAAGGCAGTTAGGACCCAGCATTCTTCATTTGAAACCTCATTATGCTCTCTCTCAAATCTATCAGTAATAAAGAAAAAGCCCTCGGCTCCCCTATCTATAATAATAAAAGCGTAATATGCTAATTAGACCGGACGTCCTTCCAGACAATCTTCTGGACGACGCTGGGGCTGCGAGGGAAGCCTGGGTCCCGGGTGCCAGAGGGAAGCTGGTGGGGGCAGCTGGAGGCAGGAAGGCCTACTCTTGCACGAATTTCGTGCATCGGGCCTCCAGTTTATTATAATTCTGAACATTCTGATGAGGCAAAAGGTTTCCAAACCCTGCTCCCAGGGGTCAAATGAACTCAGGTTGACCTCAAATCCCAATGTACCTGTTTGGATCCTTTCCTAGCAGTAAAAAAAGCATCACAGTTCTTCCAGCGACATTTCAGAGTCTGAAAGTTTGGATTTGTATGGTCAGTCAGCAAATGTTGTTTTAAGTGATCTACAACGCCAAATATCAGAGAGCAACCATGCCACTGGAGAGAAATAGAATGAAAAAGTTAAAAAGGGAACCAGAAACATGCAAATAGACCATTCCTATCTGTATACCATAAATTTGATGAAAACAAAAAATAAGCCCCTTATTATTTAATTTATTCTTGCCGAACCAAACAAAGCCAGACAATCAAATTAATGATCAATATGACAAGGAACCTTGAAAAGACTGGGAAGTCTTCTAACATTTTGGTATTTTAAGAAGGCAAAGCACTAAGTTAGTCAGTACATTGTTAAGTTAATAAATATGTATAGACAAGTTACCATAAAATTCAGTTTATATCATACTTATTCTTTATCTTGCCATCATTAAATGAGTTTCTTTGTCCATTTATTTAAAAAGACAAAGAGAAAAATAAAAATAAAAATAAAATAAAAAGACAAAGAGTGTTCCTGTGATACTGAAAGGGCTGTTTTGAATAATTTTAAGAACTACTGACTTGTAAACTTAAAGGTAAAAGGGCCTGATTAAAAAGAAAAAAAATTTTGTGGAAATATGTGTTGTAGAAAACTGTTTGCCATGGAAGCTGGCTTTCCACAAATCACCTGAATCACAGTATTGTGGCCATCTATTTTTTTTTAAACTATAATTTTACTTCTCAATGTGACTAGCTTCCAATCGTTAGTCAGAAAGCATAAGGACTCTTTGTCTTGGCTTTTCCCCTACAGGCTTGCTGGTAATAAATCTTATGGTTCTGATTCTAACATGTTCATTTCTAAAATGTAACACAAATTTGAGCACTTCCTGTCAGTACCTCCCATCTCTCTAGCTTTAAAACCAGACAGTATTTTCCCCATTGCTCTAGATAAGCTAACTCTGTATGTGTATACTCTTGCATCCTGTCATACTAGATTTGCTTTTCTTCAATAAGAAGACTAAAAAGCAAACAGTAATGTGTAAAAAGCTGCAAAGTAATTAAGCTCTGGACAAGCCCCAAATCAAATTTTAGAACAGCGTTTATTCCATCAATCTGAAAAGAAGATTAGGGTTGGGGGGGCGGGGGGGGGCGGATTTAGTGTCATAAACTTTTCTTTGGTCACTGATATTAGAGCTGATGAAACAAATTAAGGCTTATAAGGGATAAGTGTGAACATTTTGAGGGTTAATCACCTGCACCCACCCCAAAATAAAAACTATGCAATTTAGCCTAGAAAGCTGAAATTTAACACTTCAAGAAGACAAATTTTTATTTGCCGATCCCCCCCCCCCAAAAAAACCAATGAGAACACAAACCAAAATATTAATATGTGTAATCGGTAAGGAATGGGTGTAGATTGGGCAGGTCAGGAAAATAAACACTTTTACTTTTTCATATACTTATGCACTGTTGCTATATCTGTAAGAATGTACTGATTTTATAATAAAACAAAATAAAAACCACCCGGTAGATAACCTGAGTGGAGGGTATATAAATATACTTCATTTCCAAACTTAAAACAGATTTTCCATTAAAGAAATATAGAAAAGCATTAATGTACGTTTTTAAAAAATAAGCTTCCTTGTCCTACAGTGGAATGCATAAAGTGGTTGCTCAAACAGAAAAAAGCTACACTGATGATGATGAAGGTCTATAAATTAGCCTGGAGTTAAGCAACTCCGAACAGTTTCAGTCCTTACCCAGCAGCGGTAATTCTGCATCAGATTTAGCCTCACGGCCTGAATACTGCCATCGTAACAGCCAGTATAAATCTGGAGAAAGAGGTTTATCATATCAGACGAATACACACACACCAAAAAACTATGAAACATCCTCAAAATAAGAGTCAAAAGCTACTTATAGCAACTTAAGAAAATACTGACACTAAACCAATACCAGTCCCATGGCACAATGGGAAAGTATCCTCTAGCTCTTTCCTTCTAGACCCTTCGACGCTGTGCTCCTTCCAGAGCCGCTCTAGGGACCCTGGCTCACAGCTAACCTGGCAGCTCAGAGGCATCACCTACACTTGAACTGGCGCAGCGGTGGCTTCCACTGGGCATTCCGTATTAGGCATCTGTATGCCATTGGAACACAGGGTTCTACTACTCAGAGTCTGAAAAACCATCCATTCGTGTTCAACTTCATAATTGAAAAATAAAATAAGTCAAGGATTAGCAGAGTTAAATGGGCTGGCTTCTACTTTTCGGCATGCTATAACTATGTCATACTGGCCAAAACTCCTGACTCCGACATTCTGTTCAGATCATAATGTCTCTGGAAAAAACACAATCTTTTAAAAAAAAAAATCTTAAATTTATCTTTTACTTAATGATACTATCAGATTTTTATTGCAATTATTTAGCTATTAATAGAAAATGAAATATTCAACAATTTTACTAGGTTTTACCTTGATAATAGTATGCCAAGAAATGGAAAGGCAATCAATAATGAGGCATATCAGAAACAGATGTCATTTTTGGAAGTGACAAGTATTAACATTATTATCAGTTTGTAGAATTGTTAGTAAATACATTCAAAGGCAAATGTGTGGCATGGCAAACAACACTCACCATACTTTTATGGATGGTCATACACATAATCATGTCTTTGTGTCCTCCATAAACTTGCAATCGATCATGGGACTTAGGTAGAGAGAAAAAACAAAAAGAGAATTAAGGTTATTTACACCTTGTGATTAATAAGCATAGTCCCTGAAGGCCTTTGGCAGGTTTAAAACTATACGTGAGGCACCTGTAGCATTTTTTTTTAATCCTCACCTGAGGATATGTTTTTGGTTTTTGTAAACTGATTTTTAGACAGAGAGGAAAAGAGAACCCCCCCCCCAGACAGACAGAGAGAGAGAGAGAGAGAGACAGAGAGACAGAGAGAGAGAGAGAGACATCAATGTGAGAAACACTGATCAGTTGCCTCTATTACATGCCCAGGGATTGAACCTGCAACCTGGGTATGTGTTTGACCAGGAATCAAACCCACAACCTTTGGTGTATAGAATGGTGCTCCAACCAACTGAGCCACCCAGCCATGGTTCGGTAGCATTTTAACAGAAATATAATCTAGCCCTAGCTGTTTTGGCTCAGTGGCTAGACCATGGGCTGGCGGACTGAAGGGTCCTGGGTTTGCTTCCGGTCAAGTGCACATACCTTGGTTGCAGGCTCCTCCCAGGCACAGGCCCTGGTCAGGGCATGCGAGAGGCAACCAATTGATGTTTTTCTCTCACATGGATATTTCTCTCTGTCTTACCCTCTCTCTCCCACTCTCTCTAAAATCAACTGAAAAATATCCTGGGCTGAGAATTAAAAAAAAAAAAAAACAAGAAAAAGAAATATAATCTAGCTCTAGCCAGTTTTGCTCAATGGTTAGAGTATTGGCCCATGGGACTGAAGGGTCTTGGGCTCGATTCCCAGTCAAGGGCACATACCTCGGTTGCTGTCTCAGTCCCTAGCCCTGCCTAGGGTGCATGCAGGAGGCAGCCAATCAATGTGTGTCTCCCACATCGATGTTTCTCTCTGTCTCCCCCCGCCCCCACCATCCATCCCTTACCTTCCACTCTCTAAAAATCAATGGAAAAATATCCTTGGGTGAGGATTTTAAAAAAGAAAAATATACTCTAATGGCAATCTTTCTAGTAAGTCCTCCTCCCAAGGGAGAAGTTGGTAATTGGAATTAATACAACCAATTTCTGTACTTTCAAAGTCTCCAACTTCAAATTGCATTTAGGCAAGTAGATGGGTTTAGAGACTGCAGTTGCTGCCCAGAAACCATTTAAATTTTGATGCCTATGAGGCTGACCACGCATCCCAGAGCAATGTTTCTGAAAGCACAGTCCGGGAATCAGCTGCTTCATGATTACCCAGAGTGCCTGTGAAAAATGCCGATTCCTGGGCCCCAACCCGACCTTACTATATTAAAACGTCAATATCAAACCTAAGTAGACAGTCTCCCCAAATCATTCAAGCAAAATACTGGATCTAAATTCTACCTGTAATTCGTAGACACGAACAAATTTATCCAGGCAAGCAGTCACCATCACTTTTCCCAGGATGTTCACCACAGTCACTGCGTGATTGTGGCCTTTATAGATCCGCACGAGCTCCCCAGTCTGCATCGGGGGAGAGAGGAGTCAGCAGACTTTCCAGGTATCTTCCTACTTTGAGATGTATGATTCTCTAATTCTAAAAGTGATAATTGTGAGGCTTCTTGTACAACCACACAGCTACACTAATTGTAACAGCTGGAGTACCCTTACAAGCATTTGTTACCCACACGAACTATATGAAATGTATTCTGATGGAGAAAACTTAGTGTCACAGAAAAAGAAGGGTCACAGCTCTATCCGTATGTATTTTATAGCTTCCGAAGTACAGTTGATCCTTGAACAACGCAGGGGTTAGGGGCGCTGGCCACAAGCAGTTGAAAATCAGCATATAACTCTTGACTCCCCTAAAAGTTAAGTTGTCCCTCAGTATCTATGGAAGAATGGGGCTAGAACTGTATCCCAATATCCTAAAGACACCAAAATCCTAGGTTCAAGTCCTCTATATGAAATGGCATAGAATAGTGCATACAGTCAGCCCTCCACATCTACGGATTCATAATCACAGATCAAAAACAGTACAGGTATTTATTGGGGAAAAATCCACATATATATATGGACCCAAGTAGTTCAAACCTGTATTGTTCACAGGTCAACAATATTTTTACTTTTATCATTTCATTGGATCTGGGTAAGTCCCTGAGCACTTGGATTATCCCCAGGATTACAGACCAGGAACGAGGCTTCAAAGAGTTGCCTCTATGACGTGAGTAGTCTCTCAGCTGTTTTCGTTCTATTTTAAACTATATATCATATCCACTTTCTTAGCGCCTCAGGTGCTCAATTTATCTCATCTAAATGCAGCATTCACACTAAACCTTACATAAACATTGAGTCTGTCCCCTATTAAAAATTCTGATGAGGTCAGAATTTCTAGGGTACTCAGTATTACCTAAGGGCGTGTGCACAGGGATTATTACTAGGCCTCTCACTGGAAAAGGGGCTTAATTTACATTGTAAGAGATCTGACGAATCCTTCAAGCTTTAACCACCACTCTATTAAAGATTTCTTTACGCCAACAGGGCTTACATGAATGTTGTGGGCATGGACTGACTGATCACTGGAGCCACTGAACACAAGGTCATTCACCACCTTAAAGAAAAGAATTCAATGAGTTAGATTTGGTACAAGGTTCTGGGTTTCCTCTGTAACTTGCAATGTAAATTGGTGAATTCTAATTTTGATGAGCATAGACCAGGTATAAAATAAATTTCTCAAATTTTCTGAACTGAAACGCATGTCCTATCACCAGGTACTCTGATGAATTGACAGTGTATATTTGGGTCTGTTACCACTTCAGAATGATTATAGAGAAGGGCATTAGAATGTATCTATAGTCTACAGTAAAATACACTTTTATTGTTTCTAAGTTAACATATTAAAAAAAATAGCACATCCCTTGGTGACCCCGGCCTGAGGAAAAGGACTGTAACCTCCTTCCACTTTTCAAGATGACTGTGTTCTAAATAAGGCATCAGACAACACGGAAAACGTCATTCCAACCGTCCACTTGTGCCAGACAGCTGGCTCCTGTGCTGCCCTGTACTTGCCTTCATGCAGAGAATGGTCTTGCTGTGGCCCTCCAGGGTTCTGAGGAGGAGTCCATTCCGCGCGTCACGCACGCTAATGGTACAGTCGTAAGACCCCACGACCAGCAGCTTTCGGGCACCTTCCTGAGCTGTGGCTAGACAGCTAACTGCCCGAGGGCCGTGGCATTCAAAGATTTCGAGTCGTTTGTTGTTCTGAAAAATAAGTCACCATTATATGGAATAAAAGCAACTTAGCTGGTAAATCTCAAAATCAACTAACCCAAATCACTCACTACTTTAACACAAACTAAATTCTACTACCTGTACTTAAGTTCTCTTACCCATTCCCCAATCTTTAACTTCCCACCTCTGCCGTTCCTGTACCAACTCCTTGTGTTCATGAGTCTCTCCGCTCCATTCCAGTGGGGGCAAACTCTCATCTTATGAGTTCATTTCTAACTTCAACCACACTGTCCTGATCATAACTGGAACCTGGTTCTCTTTTTACGCCCTTCCTCACGTTAAGTTAATGATAATGAATGATCACCTTTTTTCACTCTTATTTTCTATGTCACAGTCCCAGGAACTCCTTCACTATTTTTTCCCCAAAGTTGAGAATGGCTTTCTTAGGTAAGTTAATGATAATGAATGATCACCTTTTTTCATACTCTTATTTTCTATGTCACAGTCCCAAGAACTCCTTCACTATTTTTTCCCCCCAAAGTTGAGAATGACTTTCTTAGACAATTTCAATAAGAGTCTGTCCTCCACCTCTCTGCCATTCTGATGTTCCTGACTTCTAGTTCTATGGCATCTTTCAGGACAGTCAGAGTCCCATGGTCACACCCTGAATTCCCAACATTCCTTTCTCTTAGATCTCAGACTTGTTTCCCTCATCCCCACACCAATCTTGTTCATAAAGTTTCCCACTTCCCCAAAACCTCAAAAAATGTACTTGAGGTGCATGCAGGTGGTAAAACACCCAGAAACTAATAAGCACAGAGCAGCACAGCTGGGGCAACGATTTCAGCCACCCTGAGGTGTTAGGGAGACAGACTGAGAGTTCGGCCCATTGGTGGAAAGCCCTGGTAAACTGCCTTCGCTTTCAAGCACAGAATTCTAGTTCGGTAAGGCTTCAAAATTCACATCTCTGCAGAGTCTCAAATCTCTGCCTTGAGGTCCATCTTCTTTGGTTTTTCAACCATTTAAAGACTATCTGAATTTCTTGTCATCATCTTTCAACTAAGATGCTCCTGACTTCTACCTACCTTCGATACAATAAACTAATAAAAGAGAAAAGAATTAGGTAATTATCAAATTTCATTGATTAAAATCGTTTGAATTTATTCTTTCTCCTTTATTTCTATCACCCTTTCCAAAT